ATTTCTGATGCTGGAAAAAGTAATTTCATATACACGTGGGCCTATGTTTTTCTTTTTTCTCTTTTTTCTTTTCTTTTTTTTTTTTTTGCAGTTTTTCACTGTAATTTTTGTCACAGATGCCAAGAAAGTTGATCAGGTAGTGTTGCCTGTGTCCTCTTTTGCCTATTCAAACATCTGGTAACTCTAGGAACACCAAGGCCAACAGCCTAGGTGTTAAAACAGTCCCTCACCACCACTTTCTGGACACAGACCAAACAGGAAAGACTGACTCTCTTGTAAAATAGTGCCCTCAAGGCCTAGCCCTGCCAGGTGGTCCAGAATCATCATAAAACTGTTATGAATGTAGTTCCCTTCCCAGTTGGCAGGACTGAAGAGATTCCCATAAACATTCCTTCAGGAAGGCTATAGAGTTCGAATGTAGATCTTTATGAGGTAAGGATACTCTCAATCATGTAGGCAGAGAGAGATAACCCTCTCTACCTGGACACAAAAAACATTTGTCCTTTTAAGAACCAAGGCAGAACTAAAAGAGAAGCTATGGACTAAGGGTGAGGGGAAAAGAGATTGATATAATTCCCCAGGGATTCAGATTAAAGGAATTCTGAGAGAAAAGGAAAACCCAGGTACAGGAAAGCAGAGTCCAGATATAAGGAAGTTTCACAAAACATGGCTATTTCTGTAGAAAATGGTAAATATGTTCTAGCCACTAATTCCATTAGGTTTTTTGTTCCTTGACCTATGCTAAAGCCTCATTACCTCCTGTGTGTTATCTTTCTATGCAAACTCAGTAATTGTGTGTGCATCAGTCTTATACATTGCATTTTCTTTTGTACTTTTCAAGACTCTTATATTTTGTTTTTTCCTCTTCTTTTAAATAACATTTGATTTTGTTTACATCTGGTGAGACTGGGAAAGAAGGGCTGAAACCCCTGGTCACTTGTCTATATGCTATGAACCCACAAGGTTGCATAAACATTATTTCATTTTTCCCATTTTGATTATTCTGGTGCCAAAAAGGCAGCACATCTCTCTCATACACTGGGATTAGAGGAAGGACATCAGGCAAAGCACTCCCAGAAGATAGGTGATGGCATTAGGAGCCACCAAGACTCTAAGCTAAAGTAGGAGGCATGGCAGTCTGTGAAGACCCAGTGGGATTCTGGGAAAGAGGTTTGAGTCCTCCAGCATTCTACCCTACATGCCCAGCTATTCCACTATAGAAACCTGCTGAGAGATCCAACGGAATTGCTGGAGTAGTACTCTACCCATCTACTTCGCGACATAGGTTATCCAGTTTCAGTCAGGCAGCTAATCATCATCATCTGGCTGAAAAAGCAAATGAAGTAAGTTCAGATAATCAGTATCATCTAGGTCTACTTAGAGTTACAAGGAACCACCTTCTTGATCCTTATCCACAAATGATACATAAAGTGGTTGATAGTTGCTCAGCTCTTCCAGGTTGAAGAAATGTTTTGTTACTGGCAGATTTATCACTGCCTCTTTTAAGCAGGAAGACATATACCTTCAAAGAAGCATTAATTACCTCTCTGAACATGGACCCAGTTCTTTCTGAACATTTTAATCAGCCAGGAAAGGCAAGAGTTGAGCAAACAGACATTGGCCCTCACTTCTTCAGATACACTCTATGTATCCTTGAGATCCAAAAACTGAAAAGAATTCAGAACTGCAGAAGCAGTTGTCATGGTTACATCATCGTATTCTGTTCCAAGAAAACATAAGGAGCCACTATAGTGTAATACTTAGTGTTGAACTAGGACACAAGGGATTCAGATTAAAATCACCCAACTACATAGTTCACAGAATTTGGGACCAATCAATCTCTAGACCCAACATATCTCAGAGTGTTCTTGCAGGAATAAAACGAGTGGAGTCCTCCTCTGTAAGGCAGATTGAACAGGAAGTAACAACAATGAACTCCAGGTTGAGTGGATTCGCTTTTATCTGCAATGAACATTATAAGTTGCCCAGAACAAATTCCCAACTGCTAAGAGTCTCCCCTCCCATCATTCTAGTGCAGAAAAGCTGCATGGTGCAGAAAAGCAATGAAGGCCTATTCTATAGAGACACAGTGGAGGTTTAAAATAGACATTCTTTGTTATTTTCACTGCCACAGAATATTGCTCCAAGTAGGCCTTAGTCCCTGCTTGATTTGATTATCCCAAGATATTCTCTAGTTGCATTTACACTGTTAAGTTTCTGGAAAATTGGTTTAAGCTCCCCAATATCTACGGAGCTGACTTAGCTGTTTTGTAAGAGTTTTTAAAAAAGATGTCTCAAACTAGGATTTTTGTAGACTAGCTATACAAATCTGAAACAATAACTCCCAACTTCACAGGCTTGCTATCAATAATCTCTTTTGAGAAGCAAGAAGAGCATGGCACTCATACTTCTGCATTAACTAGACTTGCTATCCCGTATTTCTATCAATGGAACCATTATTAATTAGCCTTTTGTATTTCTGAAATCATTACATCCATTGAGAAATGTTGCTGTGGCATTTGAGAAATCTACAACAATTAAACATGAACATTTGGACCAGATATATAACTATTTTTATTTTAAACCCTCTTAAAGCCACTGTTTAAATGAGACCTTTTACAAATTTGGCCCATACTAAAGGAGCTTCCTTCTGGAACAGCCCAATGATCTATATTAGGAAAATATGCTAATTTCAGTCGGGATAACTTTTACAACATTTATTGCTGGCAAATGTTATTAATGGAAAAAGCTTTTATAAACATTTTCTATCTTGAATACACTGACTTTTATAAAATCAAAGAATTTGTGTCAAACTTGACCAAGTTCAAAGCAGAGTTTGATTTAATTTCATTCAAATATAAGTACATGTGCTCAATTTCTGGATGACCATGAGGCTTTAGAGGAATTTTTCCATAGCCTAGGGCAACAAGACAAGGTACAAGTTAAGGTAAGGGTGGTATTCAAAAAAGATAACAATGTACAGTAATATGAGAGTAGAAGTAATAGACAAAGAAAGATGTGGCAATAACAGCTGGATAAGCCAGACATGGAAAGGCAGACCAATGAAACATCTAAAACAGTGCTGCCCCAACTACGGGGCCCTTAGTTTGCCTTACATTGTGCAATACTGTTTTTGTATCTGAATGCAATCTGAAATATATAACAGAAATCTGGATGGTTGAAAAGGGGAGAGTTGATGTCTTCTGATTTTATTCACCCAAGTATACAGCACTGCACAAGCTTCACCATTAAACAGCAGGAAAATAGCTGTTATTTTGGCAATTGTTGAGTTTCAATGTTTGTACCTGGTAGTGCATTAGAGACACAAGAAAGGGGTTCTCTGTATGTAACCACCACCCTACAATTGTTCAGTCTTCCAAGAAAAGGAGATCTTTGGCATGGTTTCTTGTCCTGTATGTTTTCAAATTCACAGGGGGATTGCTTTGGGGATTGCTATTGGGACTTCATGGCTGCCAATGTTATCCTCCTAAATCAGCTCATCTTTATTTTTTAGGACACAATCCTGACCTAATATTCTTGAAGGAAGTTGAAGGTTTGAAATCAGAGGAAAGTGCAGCTTCTATAACCCCATCTGTTACAGCCACTCCAAAACTTTGTCGATCAAAAGGTCCTTGAGAATGACTGATTTGGGTAATACTGTACTCAAATTGGAAGACTTAACAAGGGAATGGATCCTTTGCATCCAGGGCAAGAGACATATAGCCTTGGACATTTCCCAACACAAAGCAGTAAAAAAAGACCACCTCCCTTCTTAAGTATTACATAAGAAAATTCTGGCACTGCTTGCTTTTTAGTCCCAGAGAGAAACTTGAACAATGACCAAAACAAAGGTTTTCCTTATTGTTTATCCTGCCTCCAGTAAGGAATCAAGACTTTCCCATGCTGCGGCTTAATCACAGTAACAGCCAAAACGTTCATCTAAAATTCTGCAAGAAGAAAAAGAGACAAGGTAATACTCCTTCACAGACTTAACTTTTGCTTTAAAAAGAAAGCGGAGTCTTAAAAAAGAGCCTTGTATCCGTGCCCGGAAATTCTGCCCATCATATATTCTAACACACAGGCCTTCTCCGGCGTTAACTGCGTTTCCTCCCTAGCAGACAACAAACCGAGCAGCCCCATATCTGGGACTAATCCAAGCCTCTCCCCCCACCACACTTCCTTTTTGTCTCCGCCTTCTCCCCTAGGGTGGGGCTGCTCTATTTACCTTCTCGCTTTCCAGCAGACTCTGTCTGCGGCAGCCACTACTATACAGTGCTACCGAAACCAGTCCCTGCGGGAGGAGGGGCCACATTCCAGAGCTATAAAAGGAAGGCGGCAAGGCCCGAGCGCGCCCTTCGGTGGCCCTGTTGGAAAGCAGAGAAGAGCGATAACGGAGCGAGCCCAGGCAGCTTCGCCGCAGGGAAAAGGCGGAAGAGGACTCGCCTCTCCTCAGGCTCCTGCTCGACCGGCAAATGCGTGGCTAAACCCATTTCCCGAAGACACTGTGACGCTTTCTAATCAACAAGCCATACAGTTTTGGGACAACCTCGATTAAAATCGGTCTCTCTTTCTCTCCAACTATATCAATTGCTTTGCCACCAGCTCGTCCAAGCTGTGTACGGCCATTCGCAACCTGGTGCTCCCCATGCTTCGGATTAGCAGTCCCATCTCATCGACTGGGACTGATAGGACTTGGAGTCTAAATATCTGAAGGACGATCCCGTGCAGCGAGCACACTGGTGCCGTTTTGTGCCAGCTTCCAGTTGCAGCTCCTCTCCAAAGCCGAAGCGCAACCGACTGGCCACAATAGGAAGAAAGATGCTAATCGGAATGGGCTTTACAGTGGGATATATATAATACGGCTTCCTTGGGCTTCACCCGCCGTTTAAAACGCACCCTAACCTTATTCGTTTGCTGAAGCCTCAGCAGGGGATTTCCATAAGCCCCGAAGCCAGGCTCTTTCCCCACCGTAACTGTTTGCACCTCTAAATAGTCTCACTGATTACAGAAAGGAAGCCCCACTGAATTAAACGAAACAGAGGCGAGAAGCCACGCCTTCTCACCCGAGTGAAAGGACCCCGCCGACGATCATCGATCACAAAGAGGCAGCAGGCGAGCCTCATTGTTCTCTGCTTTCTTTAGTGCAACTGCGGTGTAAACATCCCGGATAGCCTGCCCGGGAATAATCCTTTAATTTCTCACGCTCTGTACTGTTTACCGCCTGACCCATTAGGATCCTACTATAATCACATCCCCACCCTGAAAATACCATCCTAATTCCGTCAATTAAGACTGCACCCGCCTTAAAACCAGCTGCTTCCGTAATATGAAGTATTCACATTTCCTCCACTCCTGCTTAAAGCGACATCAAGACTGTTTCTCTCCTATTTTCCTAAAAGGCTTGTGTTTACATCTACTTTACAGAGCCCCCACAACTTTGTCCTGTCTTGAGGACACCAAACAATAGACAAACGACGCGAGGAGCGAGCGGACCAAAACAACAACAACAAAGCAGTCTGAGTTAAATGATGTGCGAATATCGTTGTAATTGTTTTAAAGTTAAAGTCTTAAAACGAAGGCGGAAATGATCGGTTTAATTCTATTTATTCTGGAAATTGCGCTGTGATTGGAAGTTGAGAGGTTCGTGGATCATAGTAGTAAAATAAGGGAAAGAAGTCTTAAGAGGACTTAAGGGGAACGATTCATTTGAGAAGTAATACCTATTTAAACATGAGTTTGCCCTTAAGTGGCCCAGATATATCCAGGTGATCGCGTATACATAAGAATAGATGAAATAAAGCTTAGGAATGCAAGGAGCTGGGAAAATAACAGCCACTAGTTTCGAAATTAATTCTCCTCAATTGATCATATTTCACAAAATAGCGAACTTATTTGCATAAATCATCACAGCCCGATTCTACATCTAGTTCTGCAAATGACCAGATCGGAGATCTAAGCCCCGCGAAACTCGGCAGAGTCTTGCGGCGCCGTGAAACCTAACAAATGTTTTATGGCAAAGAGGTATCACAGCATTTGTTGTTTTTGTTGCAACAAACTAAAAGGTAATCACTATACTGAATGGCCTTAATTCCATGACTAATTATATGCGCAAGGCTGGACTGTGGAAACCACCAGAGGAGCGGGAAGTCGCTGAGAGTCATCACTGCCAGCATTCAGGTGCAGTAAAGAGAGGAGCATTTCTGAAGACAAGATACGAGCGCCTACGATAAAATAAATAGAAGCTTCCTACCACTCACCCTCCACGACGGATTCTCTACGCTACGCCAGAGACCCAGGATTAAATAGATCCAAAAATGGTAAAGAGGAGTGTCAGAGTTAAAGGCTAACTTCTGTAGGATGACCTCGGCAATAATGAACTAAGAAATCCCGCCCGACTCCCTAGGCACCAATAGTCGGAGATCACGTGGCCTTCCTGGGCCTGGCAAGGTCTCGATAACCGGGCGGAAGTGCTTCACATAATGGCACCATCGAAATCGGGCCGGGCAGCTCTTGGCTCGCCAAGGCACGAATGCTTCGAAGGATCGCATCGCTTTGTATACAGCCGAATTGCTCGACGAAGCAGAGCGAGACAGACTAGTGGGCAAGGGCCTCGCTTCTTTTGCCGACTAGAAGCCAGTACATTAAGAGCTGGAGAATCGTGGAAAGAGGGCAGCTGCCCTCTTTGCACCGGTTACACGTTCATAGATAAAGAACGAGGGTGGATAATCAGGCCCCCCTTTCTCTGACTCAGACTTTGAGGCGTGAGGGAGAAAGCGCGGCGAGTCTGCAAGACGAACAAAAGGCGAGAGGGCCACCGAAGGGGATGGCAGTGCGGCGACCTGATTTGTCTTGGCTGTGGTGATGAAAGCAGGCGGCGGCAGCAGCGGCGAATCTCACGACAGCGTTTGAAAGCACCTCTTAGGGCGTTTACCAGGAGTAACATTGTGAAGAAAAAGCTAGCGCGTATAAAAACGTAAAATTTTTCTTCACGTGTAAAGTCGAGTCAGCTCTACTCCAAGCAACATCACAGAAGTAATTGGGACTTGATTTCCCCAGCTAAGCCTACAGTCCTGGGGCTTTCCTTGTGGTCTCCCATTCGAGTGCGAACCAACTCGGGTCCTGCTTAGCTTTTTTCCCCAGTTCAGGTAAACACGGCGAGTAACAAAACGTGTCCGGGATTTTCGTACATTCCCCTCTTTCAGGATCATAACACACATACCCTCCGGGAGAGTGTAATGACTGCACTTCTAGGTGCAACACATTTAAAACCACATTTTTCAACAGGGCGATGTTTGCTGCTGTCTTGCAACTTCTCGAAAGCTCTGCAGTGTTCCGCTGTAGCGGCCAGTCTCACTCTACCAGCGCGCGCCAGGTGGAATCGGGCCTAAAAGTAACCAAGAAGCGCCTGCCCCGCGGTGGCCTCCCCAGCTTCACAACTTGGATCCACACCCGCACGCGCAGTCGGGAGCCAATAGCGCCCCCGCGTCCCCAGTTCCGCTGCGCAGGGGAAGGAGAGGAAGGCGGCTTGGGTACAACCGACCATGCTGGGGGGCGGGACTCGTTAGGAGCGACTGCCAGGTTTGGATGAGAAGGCAAATGGGCTTGGTCGGGGAGTGAGCGGTGGTGTTGCTGGGCTGGAGCGAGCGGCCGTTGCCCGGCGAGAGCACTCCTCCCCTCGCTCCCCGGCCCCCATTCCCCGGCGCGGCCGCGGGTGAAGATGGAGCCCTAGCAGCTGGGACCATGTCGGAAGCGGCTCGGAGCCTTCTGCAGCGCTGGGGCGCCAGCTTCAGGAAAGGGACCGACTTCGACTCCTGGGGGCAGCTGGTGGAGGCGATCGACGAGTATCAGATGTGAGTGGGGGTGGGCGGCGGCGGCGGCACTTCAAAGGGCAGGGCTGGCTGAGGGGAAGCTGCTGAAGGCGAAGGCGGGCGGGGGCCGCTGGGTGGGGCGAGAAGTTGGGGCTCGGTCTAAGGCACCCGTGGGGTTGGGTGGGTCTGACGCTTCTGGGCGGAGCCCAAAGGGGGTGACCTGGAGGGCAGGCAGGCGCTGCAAAGCCTCTGGGTGGGGCGAAGGGGAGCTGCAGGCAACATGGGTGCGGGCTGCTTCGGGAAGGCTGCAAAGGGGAAGGGAGGTTGTGCGGGGGTCTCTGTAAAGCCTGGTTGTAAATACTTAGCGCTCGAAGGCTTTGTCTTGGCGCGAAGGGTCTGCGGGTGGGGATGGGGCTCTGCATCGAGGACATGGAATTGGGGGAGACATGAACTGGGTCGCTTCCATCACTGCCCCACGTCTATTTCTAAATTTAGGATGGAGAGGGGATGATGCTGAGCCTCTTGGGTATGCATCTATTGGTGCTTTGAACTGTAATGTTTTTAAAAGGATACATGCCAACAAAATGATTCTGCTAATGTTATGCCGCTTCCCCAGGCTCTGAACAATTTTTAGGCTGGGCAGCTTTGGGGTATCCGATGGAAGTTTTGCCTTTGGAAGCCACCTGTTGTTTCCACATCATTAATCTGGACGTTGGGATTCTCTCAGGGTCATCTCTAGCACTACCAGATGTGGTATGGTGTAGTAGTAGTGGAAGAAAAGATTCTATAGGTTTCATTGCTTCTGTTTCAACAGTTTGAAAATGTGTATTTGGCATCATTGCTTTTTCAATGCAGCAACTCTAGTCACCTGCCATTCATAACATCTGATAAACCTGCTAGGTTTCCAAACAGTATCTTGCTAATTTGTACTGAAGTAGCACATGGGGATTTTTTGTAACATTAATAGCTTGTTATGAAGCAGTTAATCTATTGTCTGCCCAAATGTTGCTTTTGAAACCTCCCATGGTTTCAAAATCCGTATGGCGTGGGGAAGGCATCTAGTTGAGAGAAAGAACTTGGCTTTCAGGAAGAAGTTAATATTTCTTTGGCTCCTGACCATTATATATCATATTTGGTAGTTGATATCCATTACCCTTTTTTGCTTTTAGAATGTGCAAATTTATTTTGTTTCTTCCCAGCACTAAAGTATCCCTTCCTGTATGGCAGTAAAGGAGCACTTGTATACTATTTTTATGTTTCTGAAGTTGTTCCAAGACTTAACATATGCTATGCTACAACATCATGATACCTACCTCTGACTAGAGCTCAGTGAGTGCAGTTATAGCCCCTATTTGCTGAGAGTTGTAAAATTATATTCCATGTGTCTGATAAAAGATCAGACATTTGTATTTAACTTTTATGGACTGTAATAGTAACCTGACCAACTAGGAAACAAAAAATAATTTTGTTTCTTTAATTAAATTGGAAAGATTAAGCTGGGAGGGAAGTTACTGAATGTATAAATTGCTAGTTGGCAATCTCTTTTCTACTGTTGATCTCTAACAACTGGAATTTAAAGCAGTTTGATTTTGGTGATACTGTAAGTGCATCAACTAGTAGGCATTGAAAGCTGTATCTCTGAATTTATCCAATCCTTTTCAAACTAACTGTAATTGGTGCCATTACCACATCTGATACGAAGCATCTGTATGATATTCAGATTCAAAACATGGTGTCCATTGCATTTTCTTAAACTATATTGCTTTATCAAGGAGAGACACTATTGTTTTGTCAAGGTGAGCTGAAATGAGAGATCACATTTTAATTTGTATACTTTTTCCTGAAAACAGATTGCAGCTATTTGCAATATAAAAATAGAAAAAGCATAATATCAGTTAGCACATTAATAACAACAATATTTCAGTGATAATAGATATATGTATTTGATATCAGATTTAGTATAGATTGAATATAAAAATTACTGTAGCAAATCATGGCAAAGGTAGTTGACTCTCTAGCAATGTTCCTTGCTAAACTGCAAATTATGCATAATTCCCAGACATTCTTGTAATTGTGGTGAATGGACCAGTACCATTTAACTGTTGTTTTTTTTACCTCTCAACATTTTCTTAAGTGAGAAAAGGAGACTGCTCCAAATAGCCTTTTAGTAATAATGAGAATAGTTACTTTTGCTATATCCTCAGAAAATAGCTATGATGGTAGGACCCACAGCAGCTTTTCCTCCACATTTAAGTTAAATAGTAACTTAAATGTGGAGCATAACACCATTTTCCTCTGAACTTTCATTCAGAACTATTTTCCACACTAGTTTTAGTTGATATGAGTATGCACATCTGTCATAAGAGAATGGTGAAATCTGGAAATGATAAGCTTGAAGTGGTAAAACTAGCCCTGTGTTTCCAAGAAATACTGGGCAGTGTCATCATGTGGGTAGATTTGGAATTTAATCTAGGTCTGTCAGATCCAAGTTGTACTTTTGCCAATTTGACTCATTGTGTGGCCTTGGACAAATTGCCATC